TAATAGGCTACGCCACACTTCTCCCTTTTCAAAAACTGAGCGATGTCATTGGTGGCTTTAGCAAAGTATGTCAAAGATTGAAGTTTGACAGCCATTTTCAGTTTAGACAGGTTGAAGCCTAGCTCCCTTACCCTTGAAATACAAATAGGTTCATGACTGAGAGGTGGTGGCGGTATGAATATCCTCAGTCATCAGCACTGCCCTTCACGGTGTACCCCTACCTGACTGGGTTAGGTTGGATGACAAATTATTCGTTCATTAACGGGGGACATGAGAGCCTCATTCGACAGTGTCGGAGTCTTCTATATCGGGAGGAGTCATCTACAGTATAATCAATAGCTTCCCTAACTAACGGAAAAAATGAAGTTGATAATATTCACCTTGTTACTTTTTTTCACAACAGTTCGTTTAATAAGATTCAGTTCTTCTGAAAAGTATTTTCTGTTAATAGTACGAGATAATTTTTGGAAAATTGCAAAATCATGTCCATTATGAATTTAAGGATATACCAGTCAAGTCTAGAGAATTCATTGAATTATTTTTTTCCTCCATTTCAGTGGAGGAGAAAAATTCATATGTGAATGGACAAGTCAGACAAACTCAGGCAGTTGGGCAGGTGGATATGGACCACATATATTATTTGTATAAAGATTGAGAAGTAGAAAGCTCTAAGTTTTCACAGAAAATATGTGAGTTCGTCACCTCCCAATTTTTCATTACCAACATATCGATTTCAAGCGATATACTCTCAATATAATTCGTAAGTTATTACTGCAAATAATTTATATTGATATAAAACAAGGAAATTTCATTACAATTCCTAAACCTCGACCATTTTCCAGAGTTCAGCTCAATTCGACTAACAGACAAGGAGAAACTTTTAATGAAATATTCGATAGCAGCGCTCCACAATATAAAATGAGTTTGATAAACTGAGAACATCAGTAAAAGTTACGACTTTGATATGAGGCTTATATATAGCCCTTGCTGGAAGTTTCCATCATTTCCGGATACGAGGAATAATATCTCTGAAAATGTTCAAAGGAAAATAACATGAAGTAGAAACAATTTGTCAGATTCATTACACCGATTTCTTCGAGTGATTCACTGAAATAGATTCGACTGTTTGAAATCTGCAGTTGAACATTAAAGAAGTTATCTATTCGGCCTTCAAAAAGTACTGGATGGAAATAGTTGTTCATGTCAGTTTTTATTCATTATATGATGAGAAGAAACGTCATCAATCAACCACACAAAAATATTCAAATACCACTAATAATGGTGACAATTCACCAATAGGTTCGTGGTAAGATAGCTTGCCATGAGAAAGAAATATACAGTTCTTATGTTGATATATTGAGCAAGTTTAATGTATTGTTGAGCATTCAGTTTTTTCAATAGATAATAGAAATATCAACCGCACATCAATAACATTGAAAAAAGTTTTTGCAGAATCATGTATTTGTAGCCCTCTTGGTTCAACCCCCTAAGAGGAGTCGATGTTATCCTTATAATTTGTAATGGAAAGGGGGTCAAGTGGTACATCATTTTGATTGGCGCTCAATTCTGCTTCCAATGGTACCCTGACTTATCATTTTTTAATGAGCAGTTTCCGAGAAAGATCGTTCTGAACTAACAGAAGTGATTATTAGTACTAACAGAAGTAATTATTAGTACGCCTATACTGAAATGCATGTTTCTTCAAGACAAAATTGAAATGATTATGATTTATGGAGAAGTTGGAAAGTGCGTATGTCCTTTTAACGAAAGATATCCAAATTGTAAAGTAAATTACCGATATGTGCTTGATTTGGTGAATAAGTTTTAAAAAACTGAAAAATTGAAAGATAAATAAATAACCCCGGAGTATTGGATGAAGTAGCTCAAAGTAAAGTTTTGGGAATATTTGCTGCAGAGCCTACGAACTCCTCACGAGCAGTATCAGAACAGATGGCAATGTCACGCGAGACTGTAAGAAAAGCTTTAAAAATGCATAAATTTCATTCATACATAATGCAGATATTTCAAGAGCTCTACGGAGATGATTATGATAGAAGAATGAAGTTTTGTGAAATCATGTCTGATCGAGTCAATATACCATCCCTAATATTCTGTTAAACATATTTTTTCACGATAAGTGTTATTTTTTCTGAATGGCAGTGTTACGGAATGTGACGGAAACCCCACAAACAGTTAATGTTTTGGGCTGCTATTCTTCAAAATGCCATTATCGGTCCATTATACCTGAAAGAAAACTCGACCGGCAATCTGTAGGTACCTGGAAATCCTTGAAGAGGCTATCGATCCTCTTTAAACTCACAAGCTAGAAAATCAAATGGATTTTTGCAGGAGGATCTTTTACATTTCAAGCGGAATGGTGCTTCACCTCATTATTTTATTTTCGTCAGACAGTGGTTAAACGTGAGATTTCCGGTACGATGGATTGGCAGAAGAGGAACAGTTGAATGGCCTTTTAGATCACCGGATTCAACACCCCCATATTCCTTTCTTTGGGAACATTTTAAATCCAGTTTTCATGAAACACAAGCTTCTAATATTGAAGAACTCAAACGACGAATCACAGCAGCATGCCAGTCAATTCCTAGTGAAGTTTTCCGTAATGTTAGAGGGGAAGGTGACTTCGAAATGTCTTTCTCGCAAATTAAATTTTATTCTGTAAAAAGACAATAACCAATAAATGAAAAATCCCACACGTAATACATTTATTCCTGTCATTCAAGAGTTGAAACGGAGCTACCTACCCTTCTTATCATTTTTATTAATAGGAGTCAAAAAAATAATGCATTTCAGATCAGGTAAATTCTGATTACATGCGTAAGTTCAGAACGTTAGTTTTCGGAAAATGCACATCACAAAATAATAAGTCAGGGTACCATTAGAAGCAGAATTGTACGCCAATCAAAATGATTTGTCACATCATCAACTTTGTATTTTTATATTGGCCGAAACTAGTATAGTATACCCTATATACGACTCCATTTTTCATTGTGAATACAGCAAAGCATCACACAATATGATTTCATAACCATTTCTCCCGCAAAATAAAAAGTGATTACTTAACGTGCTTTTCTTCAATTTTAGATAGTACGCGCTGGAAAAAATGACACATAATGTTCTGTTGTCATAGGTAAACTGTTGTTTGGTAGAATTTTTCACATATTACCGTTCCTACTTTTACATGTAGCTACGTACCTACCTACCTACCTGAAAAACGACATCGAATACTGAAATATTCGATATGTCATCTTACATTTTGTGCCAAAGAAATTGTGTTGATGCTAAACATGCGTACTCTAATGAGAATCCAGAGAGGCGACAACCTGGTAATTGATATTTATGGTTATGAAATCATATTGTGTGATACGTTGCTGTATTCACAATGGAAAATGGAGTCATATACAGGGTATACTTTAGTTTCGGTCCATATAAAAATGCAAAGTTGATGATGTTTTCTAAAAGACGAAACGCCGCAGAAGAATTCTGGGTAAATTTTCGTTTTGAGGGCACCCGGCGATTTGAAAAAATTTTTGGATGTACTTACGTGTTTTAATGCGTAGATTACGAATCCGAAAGAAAAAAAAGCGGCGCTCTCCCTTATTTACAAATTTAAAAAGTCCAGAAAAGGGCAACTTTTCAGCTTTCTTTTTCACTAAATAAACTATTTGAAAACACAAGCATCTATTCACTAGGTCACCTACACACCTTATTCCTCCTTCTTTGACACTTTTCACTTCAATAATGAACATTTTTCTTATAAAAAACTTTATTTAAAAACGAATGCTTCTCCTGGTGACATTCTTCTATTTTTAAGTTAGTTACTACTGATTAACGGAAAAAAAGATTTTAAACAGATTTCAGAAAAAAGCGGTTGGTATTTGCCGCCGTCCACTATTTCAAATTTGTAATACACCACCAAAAACCAATTTAGATCTGCAGAATGAAGGTAAAAAACATTTGAATTACTTTAGGAATATTGACTGCATCAGTCGTACCAACCAAGCCATCAACCTTAAAAACGTAAAATACAGATATATATAACCAAAAAGCAGCTCCGTACTTTTTTCAACATTTTTATTGGAAAAATGTTGATTATTGAAGAGAAAAGTGTCAAAGAAGTAGGAATAAGGTGTAAAGGTGACCCAGTGAATAAATGCTTGTGTTTTTCAATGGTTTACTTTGTGAGAAAGAAGGCTGAAAAGTTGCCCTTTTCTGAAGTTTGAAGGGCCGTAACTTTGTAAATAAGGGGAGCGTCGCTTTTTTCTTTCGGATTCGTAATCTACGCATCAAAATTCGTAAGTACACTCAAAAAGTTTTTGAAAATCGTGGGTGCCCTCAAAACGAAAATTTACCGAATTCTGTTACGTTATCGTGTAGTTCTTCTGAAGTGGCCATTGCAAAGTGCTATTTGATTTACATTTCCTTTGAAAATAAAGTTAGGTTTCGTTTTTTCTCGGATATCTCCAAAACTACTCGGAATATCAAAACTTCCTGATATTATGGCATATTATTAGCTACATAATTGCGCTACTTTTCTCTAATTCAATCGACCCCGTATCACTCACCGTTTCCGATATCCAAATGCTGGTCATTCTTATCTTCGACACAGTGTATATTCGTTGAAGTTAAGGTGAGTTTGCTGATCAGAATTGTATTGCACTGGATTTTTTTGAACATTGTAGCTCAACTACAGTGATGTTTCAATATTCAAAATATTATGTTCATTGTAGCCCTGAAGAAGGCCAGAGTAATGGCTGAAACGTTGACATTGAAAATTGTAAATACAGAGTAGTGTACTCTTCAGAACATGCTCGTGAGAATACAATCTATAGTACCTTTGGATGTGATAAATGCTATCAAAAAATATTACGTTTTATTTCTAAGAAAAGAAGTTTGTGTTGCTCTCATGATTGAGGTGAGAACTCCACGTTCGATACACAAAACCTCACTTATTTTCCTAACAAAACAATGTACTTTCATACCTTTACTTGCTCCTGTCGCCTTATCCCTCAGAACATTGATTGAATGTACTCTTCCGTACTCCTCGAACATGCTTCGCAAATCGTTCTCGTCCATCGAACGCGGCACTTGACCGACGAACATTTTTATGGTATCGCTATCGGGTTGTTCTTGCTCGATTTTCGTCGTTTGCTGCGAGCTGTTCAGGAGATTATTGTTGCTACTATTGTTGTTATTATTGTTCGTGTTGATGTTGTTGTTATTATTCATGGCCAAGGAGCTGAAACAAGAGAGGAGCTGATTAGTGTAAATAGCAGACCAGAAATTTCAGAGAATATAGGAAATAATATACAGAGTGTCACAACGGGAATCCATTGGAAGCTTGAGGTGAACAAGTGAAGTTTAAAAAAAATTTTGCGTGTAGAAGTTCTGGATCAAATAATTTAAACTTTTACGGCCCAAGACTGTGTGAAAGCTAATTTTTTGCCGTAGTCTGCAGGTTTTTATGCTTAACGTTTTGTACAAGTTTGCGGTAGACCTTATCAAAGACGATGTGGTCACGTTCGCATTGCCCGAGTTGGTGCTCAAGCTGTTGTTTCCGTTGTTCTGAACTCATTAACTACGATGCTGGTATTTGACTCTTGTTTCATATTATCATCAGTGGACGTGACTTGGTTTATCTCAATTGAATTACCTGACCTCATTTGTGTACATTTAAGGACAAGCAACTCTATTGCTTCTTCTTTTATATTAAAATTATCCCTGTGTTTTTGAATTTCTATATACTCTTGGAATGTAATTTTGAGTTTTATCAAGTATTGTTGTACTCTATCTTCGAATGAAATAATGTCAGTGCCTTCTCTGTTGAGAGCCTGGTCAGCTACAGCTAATTTGTCAGTTTGTTCAAGTCGACAATTTCACTTGTGTTCAGAAAGACGGATACCTACAATTCTTTCCGTGGTTCCAATGTAAACCGTTCCACAACTATAAGGAAACCAGTATAACTCGGGTGTTGTTAAAGGCAATTGTTGTTGGCTGCTACAAATGCTATACACATATATACAGACGACTCAAAGACCAAATAAGGCTCAGGATGTGTAGTTTACTACAGATCACTAAGCCTAAGGATTTAATGGGAAATGGGAATAAATACCAGCGTGGTTCAAACAGAACTGGCTGGTATCTCAATCGCCACAAAAGAAATTACCAGGAAAGGAATTTCTGGCAAAAACATAATAATCTGCACTGATAGTAGACAAGCCCTATTAGCCTTGAACAGACAACTTGTTACCTCAGGGCTAGTACTAGAGTGCCACCAAGATTAAGGCAAAGCCTTGATAGATAATAACATCATCCTGAAGTGGGATAAAAAGCATGACAGTAGTAAAGGTAATCGCATTGCCAAATCTTTAGCCAAGGAAGCGGCTGGACTGAGAATTTAAGGACCCAGTGACACCTACGGCTTGATGACTTCGACAATTGCGGAACCAGACGAACGTCACATCCATGCTCAATCCCTAAATGGATGGGATGGAATCAAATGATGCAGTCTTGCCAGGATAACCCTGGGCGACCCTGGGAAGCTGGCGCCGAACAAATATCTGGTGATGACCAGGAAAAACCTACGCCAAACAGAAGAATTTTTGACTGGCCACTGTCAACTAAATTAACACCTCCATATTACAGGGCTAGTGGACACCCCGCTATGCAGGATGTATGAACAGAAAGATTAAACTGTAAGGCATGTCTTATGCGAGTATCCGGAGTTATCGTCAATAAAAGAGTGTCTATTCGGCGTGTCTTGGCCTATATCTGCCGATATAAAGGAGATATATCCCAGTGATCTGTCCACCTTCCTGGAAAGGACAGGAAGTACGATGACCTGGGAGGACAACTCCTCGGAAGACTATACAATGGGTCACATGTGGCCTAAGTGTGTGGGCTTACACTCACCCTCTCTACTCTACTGATACATGTTCTTTGGTATCCTAAGCTGACCTTAGACTTTATCTGATAGTTTTTTGTTGGGCTAAATATTGGTTTCTCGTCGTATTTCTCTAATATGTTTCTAATCCGATCCGTAACATTTTCAACATAGGGTACGAAAGCATTTCCCATGACCAGCCTAGCTGGGGTAACTTTGGTGTTATTTCTCCTGGGTTGTATGGCCAGCTCAAATTCTCCTTCACTATACCCATTTCCTGTAATGCCATTTTTCAGGAGATTGATCTGCTCAGGAAGAGTCTCAGGTTCAGAGATATGCCGTGCTCTCTCAACCAACATATTTATTCAGTTCTCTCTTTTGTTGTGGCTGATGGTGAGAGTTTTAGTTCGGGTTATCTGTCTGTGTGTGTTGGTTTTCTTCTACAATCTTTGGCCCAGTATCTTTTACGTCTATTCAGAAGAATATCTAAGGAGGCTGGAGTCCCTCGGGTTTCTTGTCCCATTGTGAATTTGATTTCAGGGTCGACAGAGTTCAGATGTGATAGAAAATCTCCACCATCTTCCATACCACGAACGTCTCATCAACATAACGCAGCCAATAATATGGTTTCACGGCCGCTTGCTCCAATGCTCGTTATTCAAAAATATTCATGAGATGGTACCGCCCATTGCGGTACCATCAGTTTGTTCGTAAAAAACACCATCCTACTGGAAGTAAGTTGATGATAAACAATGAGCAAAAAGAGCGGTTGAATCTGCTGGTTTTACTTCGCCAATAAGCCGTATCGAGTCCTTGATCAGAACCATAATAAATGAGACTTGGACTGTCGAAAGACAGTGTGTGTCGCCTCTGTCTGGAAAATGATGAAACAGCAGAGCATATACTTTGTGCCTGTTCCGCTGGGGAACGAATCAGGTTCTTTGAGTTCGGCAAATCCGTTCTCTCACCATCTGACCTGAAAGACCACACAAACTAATACGATACAAACTAATCGGCTTCGTTAAGAAGCTGGGTTTATTTGGCCACGTGTGAATAGGTGTGAGCCACAATAAACCTTTATGGGTTGCAATGAGGGGTCGAATAGATCCACTCACTTTAGACCTACCTACCTACCTAGTCAAGGTGAAGATTTCCACTTTGATACCCGCGACAACCTTTCCATATGAGGGTTTTTGCTCGTCAGCTACACCTGACGATGCCTTAGATTCGACCGTGCAGGGCGTTTTCGCCTCTGGTGAATCATGAGTTGAACGCAAACGTTTGCTAACCTGCTCATGGGGGGTGTGTTCCTCTGTCTGAGCCAAATTCTGCGTACGCCGCTCAAGAATTTGGTGCAAGACGGTTCTATAAGGTAACCCGTTCTTGAGGAGATGACAGTCGTTTCCTAGCTGCACCACTGAACCTTTTTTTTAGGTTCAGTTATTGGATCAGGAGTTGGGGAGTTGAGAAGGTCTCGCTCCTGAACTGAATTTACAGGGAGGTCAGTTGGAGTCGTAAGCTCGACATCCATCTCCTCTATAAACTCAGCGTCAGAAGTAATTTTTAGGTTTACTTTGTCCACGAAAGTCCCACGAGTAGCTAGGAAAAGAAGGCAAGGAAGAAATGAAATTTATTTCTGCTTTTTATAGTGGGAAGTAACAAATATGCAGGGACGTTGCAAATATGCCTGATGGTTTTACTTCAGCTTTCTGCGTGGTATTAGCTGGGTTAGTTGTTTTTCTTTCGTGTATCTGCAACACGTACCTACAAAGTCGTGGTCTACGTAGGAGGCAAGGGGTAAGGTTTTTTTCACCTGAACCTGGAGCACGTCATATCAACCTCTCGGAAATATTAATCATTATTCCAACTCCCACCCCGGAGTATGTATTTGTGGAGTTGCAGTGGCGCAGTGGCGCAGTGGCGCAGTCTAATTGCATTACGAATTCGTTGTGACAGATTCGGTCTTCTGGCGGCAGTGTAAATGAAATTGTGTTTGGTATCGGCTTTTTTTGGATTGACAATTATTCATGCTCACTCTATCACAAATGCCCTATTTTTTTCTGATTGATTCGGCCGTTACTTGATGAAGATCCACAAACTTTTTTGGAAATCAAATCATGAAGTGTAGTTCTTGAAATTATATAACCTAAATTCAAATATACACATTTGGTCACGTAAATTAATTATTATAGAACTCTTGCAAATTATAATAGGGTCTATCAGCCAAAAATGTTTTTACTCTTATTCTAAACATGCTGTTGGTCAAATTAGCCTGTCTTATATCTAAGGGCAAGTGATTGAACATCTTGACTCCATTGTGATAAATAGAATTCCTGACCAAATTTGTTAAAGGAATTGTCAATTCCAACGCGGTGGAACGGTTACTGTGAGAATGGAATGAAGCCTCAAATAGCGACATATTTTTGTAAATGGTATACGGTATACCAATACCTAGGTGGGATTCAATGAGGGAGTAAATAATACATCGTTCTGGCAGTTTTGATTCCCAAATTTATTGAAGTTACTCTCACCGAATAACATCCAGAATGAATTTTACTTTTAAGTTGTTTGATATGTTCAATAAAATTGAGCGTATTGTCAATGTAAATACCTAGAAACGTGTACAAGGAGACCACGTCGAAGCTTTGTAGTATGTCTTCAAGACCTAACTTAATATTTCTACCTTTTTCGATAAAGTATCCCCAGTCCTTAATGAATGACTCCGTATTTTCTATCGATGGCTGCAGTAGGGTTGTCAAGTATTTGGCCACCAGATATACGAAAAAGATGGTTACTGGAAACGTTGGTTGGAATATAATAAATGAAACGTCGCATTAGGAATTGGTTTATATCATATTGCAACGAATATGACACAGTATTGAAAGTTTCTTCGCCTTTTTCAATGAAATGAATTCGACAAATCTAGATTTTGGCGAATATTCCAAAAGCAATCACTGATATTGTCGGTCTGAAAATGGACTATTGAAAATGAGAATGATTGAAGGAGTGGTAACAGCTACCTAGGACCTTCCGAATTATTTTTCAGTTTTTAGTACATTATCTACATCATTATTTTTTTGTCAATAAAACCGTCCACAATTTTAGTTTACTTATTTTTCTTTCGTCTTTTTAGTTTCTAGTTTTTTACTCAATTCTTCTCATTCTGTTTAGTTCATTTAGTGCCTCAGTATTGAAAGGTAACGTGTAATCCACCATCTTGTAGCTGCGGTTATCTTGGATTTGCATCTGTTTCAAAGTATACTTCTATTCTATACTTCCAACTCTCCGTGTTAGAAATCACACGTTAAAAGGTAGGACTTCGAGGTAAGACCTCGTTAGTCCTTAGCTCGCACAAG